GGAGAGGAGAGGAGAGGAGAGGAGAGGAGAGGAGAGGAGAGGAGAGGGAAAAGAAAAGAGAGAGAGAGAAAGAAAGAAAGAGGAGGAAGGAGGGAGGGAGGGAAAAAGGAAGGAAGGAAGGAAGGAAGGAAGGAAGGAAGGAAGGAAGGAAGGAAGGAAGGAGAAAGAAAGAAATCAAACTAAAACAACAATAAAAAGGTATTTGCTTTGTTGACTGGCATTCTCCTTCAATTTTCTTTTACAGAGTCACACACCAGAACAATCTCTTTCGCTTGAGAAAATGTTGAATTCTATTTTGAGAGGAAGAAAAATACATCTGGCCAGCTGGCCATAAGCCATGATTATTTTTAATTATGGCTTATAACTAAAAATATTCTCCTCTAATCCCTCAACTGTTTTAGTAAATAATGGCTTAGTTCCCAGGAATTGAAAATTCCATGTTTAAAGTCCCTTGTAATGTCATTTTAGATAATGACACTTACATGTTCATATTTAGGTTTAACAAAATAATGTAAATCATCTTATAAAAATATATATACTTTTGGTTGTTTGTTTCTAAGACAGAATCTCAAAGTGAACTCCTGGACCAGGCTAGCCTTGAATTCAGAGATCCACCCGCCTCTGCCTCCTAAGTGCTGGGACTTTAAACAAAACAAAACCCTTCGTTCTAGAACTGCCAGAGCTAAAGATCTGTCTCAAAAACAAAATGTACTTTATATATGCAGATTTTACTCTAAGCCACAGTGACATTTGATAAACTATACTGAACATTATGCTGCTATACATGTTTTGAAATTATAATGTGTGGTGCTTTGCCTGCAGGTATGCACATACACGATGCACACACCATGTACAGAAACACACATACACATAAATAAAAGTTAAAAGTAAAATCATTTACAAAAATGTTATTAACTGGGCATGGTGACACACTTAATTCTAGCACTCATAAGGCAGAGGCAGAATCTCTGAGTTCAAGGCCAGCCTGGTCTACAGAGTGAATTCCAGGCCAGCCAGGACTACACAGAGAAACCCTGTCTTAAACAAGAAAGGGAGGGAAGGCGGGAGAGAAGGAGAGGGAAGAAAGGAAGGAAGGAAAGAAAGAAAAGAGAAAGAAAGAGGGAAAGAGAAAGAGAGAAAGCAAGAAAGCAAAGGAACATAGAAACAGAAAGAGAGATTATCTTTTAACTTATAAAATTTGCATCTATTAGCTACAAAGGGTGTTGTGTATGCCTTTAATCTTGGCACTCAGGAGAATCTCTGAGTCCAAGGACATTATAATCTACACATTGAGGTCCAGGACAGCTAAAGCTATATAGAGAGAGGCTATCTCAAAACAACAAAATTTTGCATTTATTTATTTTGTGGGTGGGTGGGACACACAAGTACTACAGTACAAATGTAAACATAAGAAGACAATTTGAAGGAGTGTCTTCTTTCTTTTCACCATGTAGGTTTCAGAAATAGAACTCAGGGTTGTCAGGCTGGAGAGATGGCTCAGAGGTTAAGAACACTGGCTGTTCTTCCAAAGGTTTTTGACTTCAATTCCCAGCAACCACATGGTGACTCATAACCATCTATACTGACATCTGCTGCCCTCTTCTGAAGTGCAAGCAGAATACTGTGTGTGTGTGTGTGTGTGTGTGTGTATGTGTGTGTGTGTGTTTGTGTCTGTATTAATCTAAAAAAAAAAAAACAAACAAAAACTCAGAATTGTCAAGAATGGTGTTTTCACCTGCTAGGCCATTTCCAAAGTTTAAAAATTATCACAAACCTTTATCTGAGCCTGTTAAACAAGACCATGAAAAGAACTTGCCTAGTATGTACAAGGTCCTAGGCTCAAAAAAAAAAAAAAAAAAAAAAAAAAAAAATCAGAAAGAAAAAAGGTCCCCAATTCTGCACAAGCACGCTCTTGCACTCCACTATAACATGACAAGTACCTGATGCTGAGGACATCCATCCGTTGTTTCCTCTTTCCTACATCTATTTACTGACTTAGTGTGGAAGAGAGGGTAGCAAGTCAAGGTGCTTGCTACCAAGCCTGATGACGTGGGATTGATCCCTGTGACCCAGGTGGTGAAAGCACTGATTCCTGGAAGTTGTCCTGACCTTCACATGCATGTACACAGCCATGTAGCACACACATAAAAGTCCTCTTGCCACAAGATTCTAACTGTCAAGTATCAGTACAGACAGCACAGCACAGACTGTGGCAGCAGAAAAATATTAGGTCTTCATGGTTGCTGCAGACTTTAAAACACTCTAAATGGCATAGGAGGCAAGAATTCTACCACTAAGCTGAAGACGATAGCACATGCCTGCAGTTCCAGCTGATGGAACTGAAGGATCAGGAAGGAGTTTACAGCTAGCCTCCAATCCACAGGCAGTTCCAGGACAGCCCTGGGCTATGTGAGATCCTGTCTCAAAAGCAGACAAAAAAACCTTCTCTGTACAAGTTGGTTTTCCCCCTCTTCCCTGGCAATAGCAAGGGCAATCAGCTACAGGTGACAATTAAAAGTACCGAAACTGAAGATGCCTGTGTAACAAGTGTGTGTACTTACAGGCAGTTTGGTGAAAGCTGGGTTGGTGACATGCTTCCCAAAGGCATCTTCTTGGAACTGAAGAAGCTGCACCACCAGTCCAGCCAGCGTTTTATTGGTAGGAGCATCTGCATGAACATACTACAAGATAAAGACAAGAACTCAAAACCTGGTGCAGCTAATGCTGGAGAGAAAGCTACCTTATTTCCTAATACCTACTAAGTAACAGCACTGCACCAAATTTTAGGTGTATGAAGCATTCTCCACTGTAAACAATCATAAAAACCATACCTGCACATATTTAAAGGCAGAAAATGTATGCTGAAGAGATGGCATATAAAACTAAATGCTGCTTCCAGCACCCACATGGCAGTCAGGAAAGATCTCTAACTACAGCCCCGGGAGATTCCATGCCCTCTCCTGACCTGAGGATGACAGGCATGCATGTGGCACAGACATACGTGCAGAAAAAGTACTTATAAACACCCATAAAGAAAAAGACAAACCAACTGGAGAGATGCTTCAGTGGTTAAGACCACTAACTGCTCTTCCAAAGGACCCAGGTTCAATTCCCAGCACCTACTGGAAACTTACAACTGTCTGTAACTACAGCTCCAGAAGGTTCCACACCCTCACACAGACAGACATCCAGATAAAACACCAATGCACATAAAATAAAAATAAATCATTTAAAAAAAAAAGAAGAAAAATCAATGGTAGAGACAGGAAGTCGTTTCTAATTAGTAAATTAAATATAAGACCTTTGATAGAGATGAAAAGATGGCTCAGCACTTAAGAGCATGGCGCATGGCTGCTCTTCCAGAGTATGTATCCAGGTTTGAGTCCCAGCACTCATCAGCTCAAAACCATGTCACCTCCAGTTTCAGATGATCCAAGGCCCTCTTCTGGCTTATATGGACATCAGGCAAACTTTGGTACAAAGACACGCATGCAGGCAAAAGACCCACACATATAAACTAAAAATTAATTTTTTGAGCCCACTATTCAAAACTCTAGAATTAGAAGAAGTTGACCATTCCGGGCCACAAAGAGAATTCTGGGGCTTCTGACTACAGTGATTTGGGGTTTTGTGGTCTTCTGAAGTAAAGTCTTTTGTAGGCCAGGCAGGGCTCAAAAGAAAAGAGACCTGCAATGTCTCAGTTGTTTCATATTGATTTCTGAGATTTAAATGTCTGTTCTGGTGCTGGAGACAGCTCAGCAGATAATAATCCTTGCTGATCTTCCAGAGGACCTGAGTTCAGAATCCCAGCACCCATAGCATGCATCTTATCTCCAGTTCCAAGGAAATAGGGGCCCTCTTCTGGCCTCTGTGAACACCCACATGCAGATCACACACACAAAGAAATAAATCTTTAAATGTACATCGTCTAAATACACTGTTAAATGCAATAGAAACTCGCAGTGAACCAGTGCTCAGAAGACAGGTGGGCATATCTGAGTTTGAGGCCAGGCCAGTCTACTGAGTTTCAGGACAGCCAGATCTACATACTTAGACCTTATTTCTAAAACAAATGAGGGAGAACACAGAGGGCAAAGGTTAGTGTACACCAAGCAGAAATAAGTCAACTCTATTTCTGACTAAAATTAACAGTGTATTGCCAAAGGAACCAAGATCCTGTCAAACACCAACAGGCTTCGATAAGCTGCAGACACTAAATGAAATGGTTCAGACTAATCTGTCCTTTTTTTTTTTTTTTTTAAGTTTTTTTGAGACAAGGTCTCATATTAGTGGTCCAGGCTTGCCTTGAGCTTCAAACTCCCTACATAACAGAAGACGACCTCAAACTTCTGATCTTCATGGTTACACATCCCAAAGGATTGCAGCTGTGAGTCACCATGCCTGGTTTTCACATGGTGCTGGGGTTCAAGCTTGGGACATAACCCATGCTAATCAAACACTACAAAACGATTTAAATCCCCAGGTCCTAGTTTAATTTTTCATTCATTCAACAAACACTTAATAAACAAGTAGTAATGAGGCAGTTAAATGTCAACTATGATCCAGAACACAAGGGTTGCATCTTCCGGCTTGCAGATCTCAACACCAATTCTGGATCCTCGAAGGGGTAAACACAATTGTTTGAGAGAGGTAGAGGAAGTACTCTGGCTGTTTCACTGCATCGATATTTACTGCAGGTGTTAGTGGGGCCGGTGAGGTGGATACACACCGGTAAAGGCACAGGTCGCCAAGACTGATAACCTAAGTTTGATCCCTGGACCTATAATGGTGTTTGGAGAGAATCAATTCTCTTGACATCCACACAGGAGCAGAGTGCACCCTCCAAAATAAATAGGTGAAAAAAAAATTTAAAGTATTAACAAAGGGTTAACTCACAACTTTGTAAAACAACTCAGCAGATTTTGCATTCGAAAGAGAAACACGGATTTCTTAAAAAATATGTAAACATTACAAATAGATGTTATAAACTGAGGCCATTAACTCTTGTACTTACATCTTTATACATGACCAAAAGTGCAATGAAATGGAAAACCATCACTTTTAATAGTCCTGTATCAATCCTATAATGCACGGTTGAAACCGGCATTTATTAATTCCCAAGGCCAATCACCCAAGGTCCCTTAGCGAATCCACACTGGGTAGCAAGCCCTTAGTTACCTAAACACTTAGAAGCTGGTCTCTAAACAAAACTTCAAGCTACTTTTACTACGCTGGGTTCAGTCTTTTGAACGCTCTTTGTTCACACACCTAAGGCGGCTAACAAAAGACCAGGGACACACGCCCTGCGGCTCTGCCCAGCTCCACCTGCTTCTGCACAGAAGAACCAACGAGCTGGGGGGGGCTTCCTGCGCGAGCGCTCGGCCCGGGACAGCCCGCCACCAGGGCCCGGTCGCCGCGTGCCCGGAGCCGCCCGCGGGGGCGTGGCGAGCGCGGAGCCGGCCTTTGTTGTCCCTCGTGGCGCGCGCGGGGGGAGGGGCGGCCGGAGGCTCGCGAAGCCGACAGCCACCACCAGCCCCCGTCGCGTGGCTCCTCGGTCCCCAAGGGCGCGCGCGAACCCACCTTCTTGTAGTGCTTGCCCAGCCAGACTCGCACCGAATCCAGCTGGGACACCGTGTCCGGGCTCTCCCAAAACTTGCTGGCCGGGCCCCCGTCCTTCCTCCGGTACACGGCCAGGCCGGAGGCCGCCGCCGCACCCCCTGCACCCACGGCGCCTGCTGCCGCTCCCGAACCTCCGCCCGCGGTCGCGGCCATGGTCACCGTCCGTCGTCTCCACCGCCCGACCTGGCCCTCGCGGCCTTTCCCGTTCGCACCCGCGCGCGCAGACACCTCCTCCTCCTCCTCCTAGTCCCGCCCAGCCAACCCTCTTCCGGCCCCGAGGCTTGGCCACGCCCCTTCTGGGCGCCGCAGCTGTAACGGACAGGCCGTGCGAGCGGGCGGACGCATGCGCAGCACGCCGCCAGCCGGCTACAGGAGCCGCTGCCCGCCTCTTCCGTCCGCCTCTCACCGCTGAGCCGCGGCTCTTCCTACGCTTTGCATCTGATTCTCCCCGGCTTCCTGCGTTCGTTCGTTAGGCGGTCAACAACCACGAGGAAGTATCGCTACTTGAGAAACCCACCTAGGGTGTGCAGTGCGGGCCTAAGGGCCCACCCCGACTGCTGTTCTGCAGTTCCTCGCCTGCCGGCAGTCCTGCTACACCCGGAGGCCGCTTAGGCCTTTGGAAACCTGCACCCAAGCCCCAGACTTGCGTGGAGGTTCGGCTTCACACCCTTCGGACGCTCAGTAAAGTCTCTCGAACCACATCAGCTGGTTTCTGCCTGCTGGGCCTAGTACCAGCTACCCGTGCGACCTCGACGTTATCTTCCCCTGTGACATTCGCACGCCAGGCACTCTCAAATCCATCACTTAAAAAAGTATTCCAGAAAACCAGTCCCTGAGTGAAGAGCTGATCACACCCACCCTATGCCTTCTTCGTAGTTCTCTCCACAACCTGGTGTTTTTTATTATTCACAGGTATATCCTCGGCGTTGGGAACAGAACTTTTTCTCCACACACATTCAGTAATACTTGATTAATGAATGAATGGTCTATATGAAGACTGAATTTAAATCGTAAACGGTGTGACTGGCTGTATTGGAAACGGAAACATACTTCTGGAGTTCCAAGTGAGGAAGTCTGATAAGTTCTTCGACCTTTAAAAAAATGACAAATAGAGGCGGTCTGGAGGTGGTGGCGCATGCCTTAAACCCAGTACTCAGGAGGTAGAGGCGGGCGGTTTTCCGAGTTCCAGGCTAGCCTGTGCTACACAGAGAAACCCTGTCTGGACAAAGACTAGAGGGGGAAAAAGTAAATAGAATGTAATCAGAAAGGACAGGTCACTCGAGACAAGGAACTGAAGCAAAGGCCCTGAACGTCAGAGTCCTTCGGTGAAGGACTCTTCGAGGTGCTCTGACAGAACTTTACTATAAGATGTGGGAAGCAAGCTTTGAGGAAATGACGTGGTGAGGTGTATACTTTAGGAAGATGGCCGGTAATCACAGCACTGGTGATGCTGCATGCATGAGTTGGGAGGATTGTTGCAAGTGAACAGGAAATCATCTGTCTCTGGCTATGGATTTGGCTCAGCTCTTGAAAGCCTGGCAACCTGAATTGGAAACCCAGAACCCACAGAAAGGTGAAAGGAAATTCTTCACACAGTTATCCCTTGACCTGCCAACTCTGCACTCTCACACACCTACATAACCCATACCTAATTCTTTTGAAAATGAAGCAGGGCAAAGCTGGGTGGTGGCACATGCCTTTGAACCCAGGACTCAGGAGGTGTCTTGAGTCCCAAGACTACACAGAGACCCTGTCTCAACAACAACAAAATGAAGCAGGGCTTTGAAATGACTCGGTGGGCAATGTTGAGACTCAGGACCTGAGTTCAGTCTGAAACCCGGATAATGGCCAGAGAGAGAACCAACCAACCAGCCTGTTGTTCTCTGATCTCCACAGGCAGCCTGGGTGACATGCTTGTCATGGCACAATCACCCCCACACATAAGCAATGTAAATTTAAAAAATGTAATTAAAAGTTCTTTTAAAAAGAAAGAAAAAAATGGATTATGAGGAACTGGAGAGATGGCTCAGGTTAAGAGCGCTGGCTGCTCTTCCAGAGGTCTTGTTCAATTCCCAGCAACCACATGGTGGCTCACAACCATTTATGGTGAGATCTGATGCCCTCTTCTGGCTTGCAGATGTATATGTGGACAGAACATTGTTTAAATAAAGCTTTAAAAAGAAAAGTATGAGGCCCGAGAAATGGCTCAGAAAGGCCCTGAGTTCAATTTCCAGCAACCATATATGGTGGCTCACAATCTATAATGTGATCTGGCGCCTTCTGGCCTGCAGGTGCACATGCAGACAGAACACTGTATACATGGTAAATCTTTTAAAAAATGGATTATGCTCCTTAAGAGGCAAACTCTAGACTACTAGCTGGTGTTTGTGAAGCACTATGTACCTCTGAACCATGATTTTTTACTAAGCACACCTTTGATACTGCAGATAAGAAAAATGCATCTTGGACAAAATAGAAAAGCAATCATAGGTTAAAAAACTAGTGCCAGGTGGTAGAGTCTGGTTTTTTTTTTTGTATAAGTGGTTTGCCAGGCAGCGGTGGTGGTGGTGCACACTTTTCTTTAATCCTAGCTCTCAGGAGGCAGAGGCAGGTGGATCTCTTGAGTTCAAGACCAGCCTGGTCTACATAGTGAGTTCTAGCCAGGCTACACAAAAAAACCCTGTCTCAAAAAAAAAAAAAAAAAAAACACACACACACACACACACAACAAAAAAAATGCAGTTTCCAAGGCTGGTTTAAAAAAATTAAAGTAGAGAACAACTTTTGAAAGTTCTCATATCCTCTGACCTCTCCACAACACAAAACTAAAAATAATTTTGAGGCAAGAACTTGCTATGGCCAAGATTGGCCTGAAATATGATCTAACCCAGGCTTGTCTTGAACTCATATTATCTCCACCTCTCCATGGCTGGGATTACAGGTATAACCCGCCACTCCAAGCTAGAAATCAAATGTTTGTATGTTATATATTTATATTGGAATGTCCCGTTGTTTTCCATAAACATGAACAATTGCTAAGTGTGAAAAAATTAAAATGCCCAGTGTAGTGGCAAATGCCTTTGATCCCTGCACTCAGAAGCAGAGACAAGCAGATCTCTGTGCATTTGAGTACATTCTGTTTACAAAGTGAATAGAAAGTCAGGGCTATGTAGAGACTCTTGTCGCATAAAACCAAACCAACCAACCAATCAAGCCAAACCAAAAACAACAAAAAAGCACATACACAAAGTGCTATGACATAGTGGCTCAGTCCTTTATTTTATTTGGTTTTTCAAGACACGATTTCTTTGTGTAGCCTTGGCTGTCCTGGACTTACTTCATAGACCAGGCTGGCCTTGAACTCATAGACATCCACCTCACTCTGCCTTTCTGAGTGCTAGGATTAAAGGCTTGTGATACCACTGCCCAGCAAATTTTGGGTTTTGTTTGGTCGGGTTTTAGTTTTTTTCCAGACAGGGTTTTTCTGTGTAGCATTTGCTCTCCTGGACTTCCTTATAGACCAGGCTAGCCTTGAGCTCACAGAGATACACCTGCCCCTGACTCCTCAGTGCTGGGATTAAGAGGCATGGGATACCTCTGCCACCTGGATTAGTCCTTCAATCCAGCACTAGGACACAGGCAGGCAGATCTGGTGGCCAGCCTGAAGTGAGATCCTATCTTAATACAAAGGGGCTGCACAGATGGCTCAGCAGTTAGTCCGCTGGGTGTTCTACCAGAGGACCTGGTTCAATTCCTAGCATTAAATGGTGGCTTATAATTATCTGTAACTCCAGTTTCAGGGGATCTGATGTCCTCTTCTGATCTGCACCGTGCATACTTGGTGCACATACACGCAGGCAAAACACCCATATACATATACATACATACATACATATATATATATATATATATGTACACATACATATATATACATGTATATATGGGAAAGCAGAGACCTTGTTATACCGAGCTGTAACCCCAGTTACCCAAGAGGCTAAAGCAAGAGGATTGGAAAAAAAAAAAAAAGTTGGAGTACAGCTTGGGCCACACAGTGAGTCCAAGGTTAATTGGAGAAATTACTACAACCCTGTGTTCAAATATGTGTGGTAGGAAGAGGTAAGGCAGGAAGATTATTGAAATAAAGTTCAAGACCAGCTTTGGCTACATGGTGATACCCAGGCTAACTGGTTGAAACAAAGAAACAAAAACAGAAGAAATAATTAAGTAAAAGGGGGGGGGGGCAGTGTAGAGAGATGGTTCAGTGGCTAAAAGCTCTTGCTCTCAAATCTGATGACCTGAGTCCCCATGTGGTAGGACAGACCGACTCCCACAAGTTGGCCTCTAACTTCCACACAAATGTTACAGCACACATACCAACATACATGCAGGTTCATGTGGCTTCACATGCACAATTTACACACAAATGTAATGAAATATATTTTCTAAGAAGCAAAAGAGTATTGTGGCACGTCTGTAATCCCAGCACTGGAGAATTAGAGGCACAAAAACGAGGAGTTGAAGGCCAACCTAAGGTACATAGCTAGTTTAAGGACAACCTAGGCTATGTGAGACCCCAGGGAGAGGTTGCAAGGTGCCTACCTGGGCACAGTGTTGTGTTGAGAGCACAGCATGAAGGTTTGTGCCCACAGATCTCCAGAGAAACCAGGAGTGTTACGCACAGAGGATCGTCTTTCCAATGGGAAAAATATAAAACCTGTTCTTCCATCCAGAAAGCTGGTAACGGCAGTGATTAATAGCTTGGTGATCTGCGTTACTTATTGTGCCAGGCCATATCAAACACCTTCAGGAGGGACTGGATGTGGCTAGTTCTTAATGATCCTTACAGGTAGGGGTTCCCCGAGCTCCCACAACCAGGACCAGAGCTGACTAATAGACCAAATGACCTCTCTGCTATCTGTATGACTAAGACCAGACCAGACCCTTAAGCTAATTCAGGTAGCCCATCTCTAGAATCCATCTTCTTAGAGGAAATGACATGTACTAAGAGTTGAGGTTCACTGTAATTATGCTTCCTTGTGCACTGGGATTACATTATACCAAGAAATCTTTTCTTCAAATTTTACTATTCAAATGTATTGGGAATACATCACCTGGTACCAGACTCCCTGAAGTCTTGACCCTGCCCGACTATCAATCTGAACCTAAGTTTTCATTCTTACCTCTTTCCAATTTGCTTCCCTGTCTACTGTGACCATCTGCAGGGTCCCCCTCAGTATTATTATACCTCTAT